CGCTCGTCTCCATGGAGATGTTATTGTTTTGTCTGGAATGTTCCACAGTGTGGCTTTAAACCTTTCTATCTGCATGGAGACCAAACCAGACCAAGTTCCAGGTCAGATCTGTGGAGAGGCGACCCCGCTCACAGTCAGAATGTCTGTTTTTCTAGAAAAAAAAAAGTGACAGAGTGCAGCTTTAAATAAGAAGAGCCCACAGAGACATAGCGCCACACAGTGGGCGGAGTGGGCGCTACATGCAGTTTCTGTTTAAAAGTGAAGACTGAGTCCAGGAGCATTCACATCAGAGACTGAAATCTGAACTTTAAACTCATCCAAGAATCCCGTGTTTTTCAGAAGCTCTTTGAGTCGGAGCTACAGGGTTATGAGCTTTGGTAAAGCTTCATTCTGTCTTCAGCTTTAAACCGTGTGTGCACCTGCCTCACATGTTTCAGCTGCTTCCTGTGGCCTTCCTCAGGTCACAAAAACATGAACATGTAAGACTGGACTGTTTACGCTCTTCTCATCCATCAAAGCAACTCCTGACAGACCAATGAAACTAGTCCATCCACACTCTCCCGCTGTACAAAAGTGTAACGTTTGTTTTGATGCTTTTGTTGGATGAGACTGAAGTGATTTTAAAAATGTCTGAAAAATGACACAGAGAACTGAGCCACAGACAGAGCTTCAGATCATCAGGAGACAAAGAAACAGGAACACCAGGTTCATAAGGCCTTAATAAGACAATAAGGTGTTCTAAAGTCTCACTCCATGAAACAGAGATATCTGAGGAGGCTTGTTCCTGCGTTTACAGCAGCTCACATGTTGCAGATAAATGACTGTGATTGGTCCTTCACAAACTTGAAGGTGATTTTCTGTGACGAGGCTCCAGATGCTTTTCAAAGAGAACGCCAGGGTTCAACTGCTCTGGTCCTGACAGAAGAACAACAACACAAACAAACTGGATCTGACACCAGATCTACTCACCTTGTGATATATGTAACAGATGACAACAATGATGATCACCAGGACAAATCCAACTGCAGCTAGAACATAGCCTAAATTTTCTGGCAGAAATGAGGGTTCCCCTGCAGAAAGAGAAAAATGTTTGTGTTCAGATGAAACCAGGAGTCACTGCTCACACTTACCCAGTTCAGTGAGGATAATAAAGTTCTCCTGTTCAGTCTTGAGTTCACAGGAGAACAGGCCCAGCTGCTCTTTGGTCAGATTCTTCAGGCTCAGACTGTTGGACTCTGTAACTCCATCTACAAACTGTCTCCAGGACTCAGTGTAGACCGACTCTGGTCCAGACCGACTCAGAATGATCTGACTCTGGTTGAACCTCCAAATGAGACTCTTCACTGGAGCAGAGGGTTCAGTGCAGGGGATTATTACATCGTCTGAAACATCTAAAACAACAGAACAAAAAGATCAAGTAAAAATATTAAAATAAGACAGAGCTCTTTATAATTGATTCTAAACACAAACCTCTGTGATAATAAATGTCTCTGTTCCTCCTGTAGGTGGCGCTCCTCCAGCTGCCCCTGCTGTTGCTCACATTACAGCTGTATTGATGTGGAGGGCTGTGAGGCAGAGACACAGAGCTGTGCACAGACCACACTCCGCCCTCTGAGGGGGTCACCGTGGTAAGAGCTGCAGAGGAGGGAGGGCTCCAGGACACTGAGGGTTTGGGGTAGACTCCCTCAGATCTACAGAGGAGCTCCTGCCCCTGCTGCTGCAGAGACACTGGAGCTGGAGCTACAGAGAGACGCTTCACTGTCAAACCACATTTACACTCTTACATATGTTATTATCAAAATAATACTCATTATTTACCACAAACCAACACATCCACATAAAACTCTGTGATGTTGGGGCTGCCGATGGTATTGGCTTGACACCTGTAGCTTCCTTCATCCTGAACTTTGACCCCTGAGAGCCGCAGTGATGCGTTTCCTGTGGACAGTTCCTCCTCAAACAGAGAGGTCCGACCTCTAAAGTTCTGGTTCTGGTGCTGAAGGCTGGTTCTGACCGTGATAGTAAACTGTGAACTGGAAGTTTGATCATGAGGATTCTTTGGTCCAGTGGATCACAGGGTTCTGGTCCAGGCTCAAAGCTGCAGGGCAGAACACAGGTCTCCAGAAGAACACAGGAGACAGCAGCGTCTGAGGGAGAAGACATGAGACGCTCAGAGTCCTTCTGCAGTGAACCAGCTCAGAGACACACTCAGAAACCCCAGTGAGGCAAATGTCCTCTGCATTTGACCCTTCAGTGTCTCTGGGTCCTGGAGCAGGTTTTGGATTCACAAACAAAATACATTTGTGCAGCTCTTCGTGTCCTTCAGGTTGAATCTAAATCTGTTTCATGATTTAAAATCATAATTATTATTCTGTGGGTTTGTGTTGGACCTTTCACTTTCATCATATTTAAAGAGAAGTGTTTTTTAAGTGTTTTTAAGGGTATCTGGCTCGTGCAGAGTTAACGTGGCGAAAAGAAAGTGGGGCGTGTATTTCTCAGTTCAACTTTTTATTCTCCCTCTGCATGTCGTTCTTGAATCATATATATTTATATATTTGAACAAAATACGTGCAAACGTCACACGTCACCTCAAGAAAACTGAACTGATCAAACATTACACTTTAATACAACATTAATAAGAGCATTATTTTACAATTATATTCAACAAATGAGTTTTTTTTTAATCACCTGAAACACGTAGTCAGTGTCTTTTTTTAACAGTTTATCTGAAAAATAACATCATAATTTAAAAATAAATGAGTTAAACTACAGTAATGTGATAAACCTGAGAGAAGAAGTGACATTTCTGTTTCATTTCCATAAATATTAAACTAGAACAAAGTTACAAACGTTACTCCACAGTCACATGAAAACACAACACCTGTAATCTAGAGTCACGTGAACTTTAACGAGACACAAACACAAACAGACTGAACAGAGAAAACAGGACAATGACGCACATATTTAGTTTATGTGTGGGACTTACCTTCTGCAAAACAACATGTAAATACAGACAGCACAATCTGGAGAAATAAACCAAACCGCAGCATGTTTGGTGAAGTTTCCTGGTTTTCTTCTTCATAAAAACACTTCACACTCTGTAGTTGACTTCAGCCACACGCCCAAAAGAAACTGAGTCATGAAAATGTGTGTCTCTCCTCCACAGTCCCGCTGATGGGGGAGTTCAGGGCAGGACAAAACTCCAGCATCAGTGTCATGTCTGTGTTCGCCAGCAGAGGGCGCTGTCGCTGCAGTTAATAATGTAACACAGATAAATGTGTTTTTATTGGGGTTAGTTTTTTTGTTCCTTTGCAACATAAACATGCAACAGACATTAGACAGGACGATACAATAAGTGCAATACAGAACAACACAACACAAATGTAAACACCACCATAGCAGACAAAGAGTGTGTGTGTGTGTGTGTGTGTGTGTGTGTGCGCGTGTGTGTGTGTGTGTGTGTGTGTGTGTGTGTGTGTGTATGTGTGTGTGTGTGTGTGTGTGGCCAGAGCATTGGTCATTTTGGATGTTAAATTACAACAGTTTGGGTCCAGTCATTTGTGCAGATTCAATCTTCAAAATGATCAGAACTTTGAATATTTCTGTAGGATGAAGTTGTTCTGGCTACAGGCGAACAGTAAAGTGCAAGAGAAAGTGTGTGTCCTATTAAATATTATATTAAAAATCATGACCTAATTGACACAAATGTTATGTGTTATGTATGAACCTAAATGTGTTGCACCGTTTTCTACCAGTAGATGTCACCAAGCAACTAGGTCATGTTTAAGTTGCAGAGTTTTGTATTCAATAAAGAAAAAGTGAATGAATCAGTGAACGTGTGTGTGTGCATAGCTCTGTGTGTTGTGTAAAAGTGTTTGTATAGTGACATAAAAGAACAAAATAACAATCTTCTCATTCAAGTGCACCTGTACAGAGTTACAGAACAGAACATTCAAAAGTAAAATGCAGTGAGAGGTTTTGGGTTAAATCTCTGATCTCCACATTACTGTAAATGATTTATTATGAAGTGTTAAACACTTCTCCCTCTGATGTCTCACAGACAGAAAAGGAGAAATTCTGTCAACTGGATCAAAGTTTTTAATCAAAGACGTTTTGCAGCTCATCCAAACAAGTTTGTCCAGCAGCGTCTGACCAGAACTGAACAAGCAGCTTGGATGAGCTGTGAAACGTTTTCAATCAAAAACTTTTATCCAGTGACAGAGTTAAATTTCTCCTTTGCTATGGATCCTACCTTCTTGTTATATGATGGATGGATCTTCCTCCTGTTTGCAGTGTGAAGCTCCACTTGGTTCAGTTGGTTTGGGAGATCATTCTCATGTGGACTCAAGTATTTTGTGGCACTGGCAGTTCCTCCAACAATGATGTGAATTAAAGTGGAATGTTGGGCAATAAATTAAAAATATTTCATAATTGTTCTTTTTCCAGTTTAGTCCCAGTTCAGTCCTTGTTTGGTTCAGTCAAGGTTCAGTCCTTGGTTCTGTTTGAAGAAAAATGTTTAGCCCAAAGTTGGATTTTGTTAATCCTGAAAAGAGATCAGCTCAGGAGCTAGATAAGTCTGAAGTGGAAGGGTGGAGGCCAGCGAAGACTGACGACCACCTGGACTATCATCAGTACAAATGCACCAACTATAATTATCCACCGAAGAAAGAGTTTTCCTGTAGAAAGAGAAGAGTGTGTGAAATCCTTTGTGTTCAGATGAAACCAGGAGTCACTGCTCACACTTACCTCCTGCTTCAGTGACTTCAGTGAGGATAATAAAGTTCTCCTGTTCAGTCTTGAGTTCACAGGAGAACAGGCCCAGCTGCTCTTTGGTCAGACCCTTCAGGATCAGACTGTTAGACTCTGTGACTCCAACAACAAACTGTCTCCAAGACTTAGTGTAGACCAGCTCTGGTCCAGACCGACTCAGAATGATCTGACTCTGGTTGAACCTCCAAATGAGACTCTTCACTGGAGCAGAGGGTTCAGTGCAGGAGATTATCACATAGTCTGAATCATCTAAAACAACAGAACAAAAGGATCAAGTAAAAATATTAAAATAAGTCAGGACTCTTTGTAAAGGATCCTAAACACAAACCTCTGTGATAATAAATGACTGTGTCCCCTCCTGTAGGTGGCGCTCCTCCAGCTGCCCCTGCTGTTGCTCACATTACAGCTGTATTGATGTGGAGGGCTGTGAGGCAGAGACACAGAGCTGTGCACAGACCACACTCCGCCCTCTGAGGGGGTCACCGTGGTAAGAGCTGCAGAGGAGGGAGGGCTCCAGGACACTGAGGGTTTGGGGTAGACTCCCTCAGATCTACAGAGGAGCTCCTGCCCCTGCTGCTGCAGAGACACTGGAGCTGGAGCTACAGAGAGACGAACTTCACTGTCAAAACCACATTTACACATCTTGAAGAACATATGTTATTATCAGAAATAATACATCATTATTTACCACAAACAAAACACATCCACATAAAACTCATCTGGGGATGTTTTTCACTGTGGTCAATGTGCTGGTGACACACTTGTATTTTCCTTCATCCTGAACTTTGACCCCTGAGAGCCGCAGTGATGCGTTTCCTGTGGACAGTTCCTCCTCAAACAGAGAGGTCCGACCTGTAAAGTTCTGGTTCTGCTTCTGGTTCTGGTTCTGACCTTTAAAGTAATTATGAACTAGAGGTTTGATCATGAGGTTCTTTGGTCCAGTGGATCACAGGTTCTGGTCCAGACTTAAAGCTGCAGGGCAGAACACAGGTCTCCAGAAGAACACAGGAGACAGCAGCGTCTGAGGAGAAGACATGAGACGCTCAGAGTCCTTCTGCAGTGAACCAGCTCAGAGACACACTCAGAAACCCCAGTGAGGCAAATGTCCTCTGCATTTGACCCTTCAGTGTCTCTGGGTCCTGGAGCAGGTTTTGGATTCACAAACAAAATACATTTGTGCAGCTCTTCGTGTCCTTCAGGTTGAATCTAAATCTGTTTCATTATTTTAAAATCATAATTATTCTTCTGTGGGTTTGTGTTGGACCTTTCACTTTCATCATATTTAAAGAGAAGTGAACATGTTCAAACCAAACGAGTGTGAGTCAAAGTGTTTTCATGTCTGGGGTTAGTACCTGTGTGCACCACTAGATGGAACCAGAACATCACAGATCCACAGTGAGACATCAAAGTGAAACTGAAAGTGTTTTTTAAGTCTTGTTAGGGTATCTGGCTTGCGCACAGTTAACGTGGGAAAACAAAGTGGGGCGTGTATTTCTCAGTTCAACTTTTATTCTCCCTCTGCATGTCGTTCTTGAATCATATATATATTTATATATATATATATAACCAGAACATCACAGATCCACAGTGAAACCGAAAGTATTGTTTTAAATGAGTTACAGTAATGTGATAAACCTGAGACTGCAGGGACCATTACAGAAGTCTTATTATCTGTTTCTCTCCATAAATACTAAACTAGAACAAAGTTACAAATGTTACTCCACAGTCACATGAAAACACAACACCTGTAATCTAGAGTCACGTGAACTTTAACGAGACACAAACACAAACAGACTGAACAGAGAAAACAGGACAATGACGCACAGATTTAGTTTATGTGTGGGATTTACCTTCTGCAAAACAACATGTAAATACAGACAGCACAATCTGGAGAAATAAACCAAACCGCAGCATGTTTGGTGAAGTTTCCTGGTTTTCTTCTTCATAAAAACACTTCACACTCTGTAGTTGACTTCAGCCACACGCCCAAAAGAAACTGAGACATGAAAATGTGTGTCTCTCCTCCACAGTCCCGCTGATGGGGGAGTTCAGGGCAGGACAAAACTCCAGCATCAGTGTCATGTCTGTGTTCGCCAGCAGAGGGCGCTGTCGCTGCAGTTAATAATGTAACACAGATAAATGTGTTTTTATTGGGGTTAGTTTTTTTTGTTCCTTTGCAACATAAACATGCAACAGACATTAGACAGGACGATACAATAAGTGCAATACAGAACAACACAACACAAATGTAAACACCACCATAGCAGACAAAGAGTGTGTGTGTGTGTGTGTGTGTGTGTGTGTGTGTGTGTGTGTGTGTGTGTGTGTGTGTGTGTGGTGTGTTATGTGTGTGTGTACATGTGTGTACAGTATGTTTGTGTGAGAATTCCAGAGGCCTGGAGCTGAAATTAAACATAGATACACTTAATGCCACACTGGGGAACATTTCTGGCAACACAATGACATCTCCATGACGTGGACTCGACTCGACTCGACTTCAGAAACTGAATTTATTTGTAATTTCAGTTTAAACATTACAGAGACATGAAACACTAAAGTTATCAACAGCTTTAAAAATACTTCTGTAAATACAAACTCTAGTTTTACACCAACATGTGAAGGTCATAAACAAGTCCAAATGGAAAACATTAAAAAGTGCACTTTTAGAAATTCCCTGCAGTCTGAGTGTATATGAAGTCTACAGGACACTTTGGTCATTCATAAAACACATCTTTATAACACAGTATTATTATTAGCAAAATTAATTTAAGTAACTGTTATAAATAAAAAATACAAAAAGATTTTTCTTCAAACAAACTGAAAACACAGAACATTGATTCAGAACTTTTACATGAATCTAAATCCAGCTTGGACTCAAAAGTGCACAAGTATAAAAAGTATTCAGTAACAGTTGAATATTCAAGTAAACTGCCTGGACAGACGTACAATGTTCTGTTATTCCACACAGAGAAACAGAGTCTAGTGCTGTAAAAAGGAAGATTAACAGAAGAGCAAAGCCACCAGAGAAAAGTGATGTTTTGTGTGTGTGTGTGTGTGTGTGTTCTGATCATCTTCAAAATGATCAGAACTCTGAATATTTCTGTAGGATTAAGTTGTTCTGGCTACAGGCGAACAGTAAAGTGCAAGAGAAAGTGTGTGTCCTATTAAAAATCATGACACATAAAAGTTTCATCATGAGACTCATAATATTCTAAAAGTGTAGAATTTTTGTTTGTAGGATTTGTTCTTCTAGAAGAACATTTAAAGGTGCAGTATGTAACTTTCTGGTTGGGGGTCTGTCACCTGCTTGTTTCTATGGATACATCATTTATCTGCCTGGAATGTTCCACAGTGTGACATTAAACAGCTCTACTTTACATTTATTCAATTACAGGCGGTTTTAAAGCTCAAAAATCCCTCAAAAAACAGATTCTGGTCAGGAACTGGATCTGGTTTGGTCTTCATGAAGATAGAAAGGTTTAATGCCGTACTGTGGAACATTTGAGACAAAGTGATAACATCTCAATTCAGAAAAGTGTTTGATGAACTGTAATTTCCTGGTGAACCACAAAAGAGGAACAGAGCTGAGTTGATTTTCCAGCACAAACCAAGAAGCATTTATTTATTTAACAAAAGCATTTATTTAACAATTGCATTAAATATAGAAAACATTTTGAAAAAGAGAAAAGTTAAAACCACACATCAACATGGACAGGCAGAAGCTGACTCAGGTAGAAAAAGCTCAAGTATTTGTGCCTCAGTCCAGAGAACAGAGTCATACAAAGGATCAGGGTTAATGTTAATGTTACAAAAGAACCTGAGGATCACAAACGGAAGTGACCAAAGTGAAATCACAGATGAGACTAAAGTCTCTAATGTGAATATTATTTATACTCACATATTTACAGAGACACATCCAACAAAAGGAAATGTTGTTCTCATAAACACTGACAGGAAACCAGGACTAAACCAGAACTAAACCAGAACTAAACCAGAACTAAACCAGAACTAAACCAGAACTAAACCAGAACTAAACCAGGACTAAACCAGAACTAAACCAGAACTAAACCAGGACTAAACCAGAACTAAACCAGGACTAAACGACTAAACCAGAAGGACTAAACCAGAACTAAACCAGGACTAAACCAGAACTAAACCAGGACTAAACCAGACTAAACCAGGACTAAACCAGACTAAACCAGGACTAAACCAGACTAAACCAGGACTAAACCAGAACTAAACCAGAACTAAAACCAGAACTAAACCAGAACTAAACCAGGACTAAACCAGGACTAAACCAGGACTAAACCAGAACTAAACCAACTAAACCAGGACTAAACCAGAACTAAACTAGAACTAAACCAGAACTAAACCAGGACTAAACCAGAACTAAACCAGTACTAAACCAGGACTAAACCAGAACTAAACCAGGACTAAACCAGGACTAAACCAGAACTAAACTAAACCAGAACTAAACCAGAACTAAACCAGAACTAAACCAGAACTAAACTAGAACTAAACTAGAACTAAACCAGGACTAAACCAGGACTAAACCAGAACTAAACCAGGACTAAACCAGGACTAAACCAGAACTAAACCAGAACTAAACTAGAACTAAACCAGGACTAAACCAGGACTAAACCAGAAAACCAGAACTAAACCAGAACTAAACCAGAACTAAACCAGGACTAAACCAGAACTAAACCAGAACTAAACCAGGGATAAACCAGAACTAAACCAGGACTAAACCAGAACTAAACCAGGACTTAAACCAGGGACTAAACCAGACTAAACTAGAACTAAACCAGGACTAAACCAGAACTAAACCATAACTAAACTAGAACTAAACCAGGACTAAACCAGAACTAAACCGGGACTAAACCGGGACTAAACCGGGACTAAACCGGGACTAAACCAGGGACTAAACCAGGACTAAACCAGGACTAAACCAGGACTAAACCAGAACTAAACCAGGACTAAACCAGGACTAAACCAGGACTAAACCAGGACTAAACCAGAACTAAACCAGGACTAAACCAGGACTAAACCAGAACTAAACCGGGACTAAACCGGGACTAAACCGGGACTAAACCGGACTAAACCAGGACTAAACCAGGACTAAACCAGGACTAAACCAGAACTAAACCAGAACTAAACCAGGACTAAACCAGGACTAAACCAGGACTAAACCAGGACTGAACCAAGACTGGACAAGACTAGTTTTTTCTAGTGTTCATGTATTATTACTATTTCTATTTTCTTTGTTATTATAATATCTTGTGATGTTTGAGCTGCTGTGTCTGAGTCATTTTCTCTTGTGGATCAATAAAGTTTGTCTAAGTGTAAAAACAGATGAGGCTCGTCCTGATGATGCTTCCAAAATCACACATGATCAATGAAAACTTAAAGAAACGTAACAGAAACATGCTCCAAATATTAAACAGTAAAACAATATTCAAGTATTAATGCAGCAGTAACTCCTACTGTGTCCACAGACCTGCTCCTCCTGCTCTTCCTCCTGCTCTTCCTCCTGCTCTTCCTCCTGCTCTTCCTCCTGCTCTTCCTCCTGCTTTCCTGCTCTTCCTCCTGCTCTGCTCTTCCTCCTGCTCTTCCTCCTGCTCTTCCTCCTGCTCTTCCTCCTGCTTTCCTCTCCTCCTGCTCTCCTCCTGCTCTTCCTCACTGTGGGGTTTGGTCTGAGCTCCTCTCGTTATTTTTAAATATTCTTGTAGTTCCAGTGGCGTCTGCAGTGTAGAGCAGGAGAACTCATCTACTGGAGGGTTTCAGACTCAGACTAGAATGTTCTGAGGTCACACTCCCACTGACATTTCACTTTCAGAACAAATATACAACAGAAAAATTCACTAAAGTGACTCCAGGACTAGACCCAAGAACATGCTGCTTCAACACAAATCTGTATTTAATCAT